ATGGTCCGCGACAGCCGCGTGCGACGTATCGATTAAACAGAAATGTCGAGTCCCCGCTTCATCATGAGTGCCGCCATCAATCTCTTACGCAACGTCGCACAAGTCCGATATAAAAGTGGCTGGTTCGAGAAAGCCGGGTCGAATTGCTCATATCTCCGTCGCCGTGGAACATCGCCCTGACAGTATGGCCACCTCGTCCAGATCCTTTCCCTTTTGTTCTCTTTGTAATGTTACATTAGTAATAAACATATATAGGCAAGACTAGTTTATAACAGATCTTTCGTTCCCGCTACACCATCAATATTTGTATGCCTAGCTAATCTATAGACCCAGAGAACCGTTCCTACTGCCCGTCTTCCCCAGCTACCGTTCAGGTTCGACGACCAGTCAGAAAAGCAAGGCAGTCAAAAAAGTGTCCTAATCGATTGGCGTGGAGGCAGGCTGAGTACCTCGGTTCCGGTATCTCCTCGCAGAAAACAGAGTCCTTCCACCAAAAAATCTTTTATTGGCTATTCCGTTCAAAATTAGGGTTACACGACCGCTTAAATTTCTCTGTGTCTCTGACAGCGAAAGGTTAGAGCGCAGAGAAAATTACCCCGGGTGAAGGACACGAAGGTGGTGGTGGGGGCCCTATTGGTTAGACAAGCAGAGCACCTAAAGATCGGATCAAACGGGAGAGCGACAGACGAAAGCAGAAAATAGGCAAGGTCGCTATTAAGTTTGAGCTTAAGTAGTCCGTAGGCCCAAAAGCTGCAATGAGCTACTAAAAATGGCTGAACTGCAGTGAGATCACTAGCCTTGGTGAAAGTTCAGATGTAGGGGATACCGCTACTATCCAACGGTGAGCGTTAGAGCAGTAAGTAGGAAATCAGCTAACTATTCGTGCTTAGAACCGGTTCTTAGCAAAAAATTAAACCGAAACTTTGAAATGGGAGTAGCACCGGACGGGTAAGATGACTAGAACATTCAGCTGGCTGATCACCCTGGTCTTCCTTCCCGGCTAAGTTGAGAAAAACCATATTTCTTGGAACCACTTTGGGGTCGCAAAATCGGTCATCCCTTCTCTAGCGCTCAATGTTGGATTATGCTTCTCCTGTCCTCTGCCTCAGTCTCGCTAGTAAACCGGAAAGTAAACGCAAGCTTCAGTAGCAAGTGTTTATACGCAATGACAAACTGCTACCATGAGTGGAAATGGAAAGCATCAAGGAAAGGTGGCAGGAATCGAGTTGAAGGAATGGCTGCTCTTGGTCCAGCAACGAATTGCTTGATAAAAAGCTTAACCAGTCGCATCGCCCAGCTGGCGCCGGGCTCTCCTCCTCCTTGGGGCAAAGGTACACACTTCGCTCGAAAAACATCGGATTAATGAAATTCTCTCCCTTTTTTCGTAGGTTATTTCGCTAACTCGCTGAGCGAGAGTATAGGCTATCGAATGTCTCCAAAAAAGTACATAGCTCCTTTTCTCTACGAATACTTCATTAAACGTGAATCCAACATTATTAGCGGTCGGATAAGTTTTGATAAGAATGATATCAAAGCAGAAAGAAGTCGTGATCTTTCACTTAATCGCAAACTTTGCTGGCTAGCGGTCGTAATCTGATAGCAAGAAGTGAATCAAATTCATCTCTTTATAATCACACACACTTACCCTTCTTGTCGAATGAAACATCAAAAATTCGAAGCTAGATCGTAAATAACAAAGGCGCTAGGATTCAATTAGCGAGTGGATCTTCTTCTTTAAGGCCTCTACTATTGTCAGTGTTCTCATCCTGCCTCCTCCTATTGATTTTGCTCTCCAAGTCCACGGGATCAGGAGTCATGGATTACCACTCAGACATTTATTTCGCGGAAACCCCGTCTCTTGGGGACGGGTCCGGCCCCACTACGCACCATAAGTGTTCCCATACTGCTGCCTGCCTCCTACCAAGTTTGAACGCCCGAGAGCCAAACTGAAAATTTTCGCGCAAAACCCCGCCCCTTGGGGGTGGAGTCTGGTCATAAATCCTGTTTACCTGAACCAAGAGCGTTGAAATTCGGTAAGAGTACAGGAGGCAGGATTGATCACTTATGGTGGATAGCAGAAGCGGACTCCGCCCATAGGGGGCGAGGCGTGCGCAATAGAAATTTTAGACCACAGATTCGTAACTACTGATTACGTGGACCTAGGGGGTTGAAAGTCGGTACGAGTACAAGCGACATGATGGGAACACTTATGGTAGGTGCCAGGGCCAGACTTCGCCTACAGGGGGCGGGATGTACGCAGAGTAGATGTTTGGGCGGAATTTCGTAACTTCTGTTCCTGTGGACCCTAAGAGTTCAAATTCTATAGGACCACAGTGACGGGATCGTAGGTACTCGGTGGTAGGAACGATAATGACTGATGTCTAAGAGAGCAAGAGCCACCTACCGACCAAAATGCCAATGCATTCAGCATTTACGATGCAGCTTTGTCTGTTCAGCATGTTTCATTCGAGAAGAAGGGATGCTAGGGAAGGCTGACAAAAGTGAGTGGAAAGCGCAGTGATTGAGATCCATTAGTCGCACTTTGATAAGTTATAAGCAGGTGAGAATTTTGTTCATTTCTTGCTATTCGTTTACGAACGCTACCCACCAAGGTTTGTAGCCCAAGGAGGATCCTCATTGTTCGATACCATTTGCGACAAAACTTAACCGACCGCCAATTATATGGAACTCTTGAATTATACCTCTGTAAGAAAAAGGTCCATTGATTACATCTGGTAATGGAGTCATCATCACACGAAACATTTGCCCACCCTGTATATACAGTGCTAGCCGTAAGAACTCAAAAATTCACGAGAAGGATTCGAACTCGCGTCTTTTTGTCTTTTCTTCATAAATCGCTTCAAATTAAAGTAACCGAGGAGAAAAAATACCGATGAACTCAGCTCATAAGTCGATACCCTAAAATGTTAAAAATGCTTTTTGGATTGAGCCATGCACTTGAGCTCCATCCGAAAAGTGATTGCATGCACATGGGGTGCGCGCTTTAGTGCTTGAAGGGCTGTTCAGAATTTGCTTTGGATTGCGCCACGTACTCGACTTTACCAGTATAATGTGAAAATGATTGTTGGTTTTGTTTAGTCT